AAGGTTTTCCACTTTTCGGTCTACGCAATCATTAGTTCGTCGAGCGAGACTCTGTATCCAACAAAACGGGAATTTATTTGAACACTTATTGTAAAGCTAGTTTTAAGTATAAAATTTATTTCTTTTGTTTTTGCCTAAATGTTAGCTATGTTGCAATAGAAATATGTATTTATGTAATATTTACCAATTATTAAATTATTTTTTTGTTGTCATGGCTAATTATTCAACAATTCATTTAAATTCGCAGTACATTTCCTATCAGGTGACAAATTTTTTAGTTTGATTTTATTCAAAAATGGCATAATTTATCGATATTCAAAAAGAGTACCCTAAATTTTCGAATTCTAAAATTGAATTTCAAAAATAGAGAGGACCTGAGTTTGTCCTTGTTACATACGCTTCCAAACAAAACTGTCTAAAATTGTTAATATTTTTAAATCCAGCATAAAAAACTAGGCTAGAATACCAAATTGTATGTCTTTATCTCAACACGTTTCGGAAATATTAAGGAAAACCCATCTTCAGGGGAGCCCCTTTATAAGATCGTAGCGCCCTTAGGGGACGTTTGTCGACCTATGCTTATATAAACTTTTCTTCCTATTTTAAGCTCTAGAAACCGCTGGTAGAATATTGCACACTTTTTTCGGGACACCCTGTATAGAAGGTTATAAATGGTATTACTATACAAACCTAGCGAAAGTGACAATTTTTTTTTTATAAATTTTGCTGACTTACTGTATTTTCCGTTGGATCAATTAAAGAAAAAAGTACACTTACTCTAGACTTAGAAGGATATTTATTGATTTATTACACTATTTTTCAAGCAAATAGTCGAAAAAGACCTCTTTAATGCCAATCTGACTCATATTATATTCATCTAACTGTTCTGCACTATCTGTATTTTCAGCACTGTTAATATTATGTCCACTTTGTATTTTTTTATTTCACTTGGCTTTTAGAGAAAAATGAAAAGCAGATAAGCCTCTGTAATGCTGTTCACGTGAACATCGATGAGTCATTACAGTTTTAGATAGTTATAGTATAGGAAGACTTTTTTGCTTTTGATTTAAATAGGTCTAATAAACCATCTAATTTTCTAGCATCTACTGGAAGCACGCTTATGTCCAGCAAAGGTAATTCCAGAAGCGGATTGTTTTGCGCTCTCATTCTCTGATAATCAATGTTACTATCTTGAGATTATCAGCATAGTCACACTTATATTTCATTTCACGAGGCAATCGTCTTTGTTCCAATTTTCCGATTTTACCTTTTATTTAAAACTAATGGATCCACGACCAACCGCAAGACAGAGCTCTTTAGCCTTCATCAGTACGATATAGGTCTGTACCAGGTCCAGACGTGGAGATGAGCTAATGAAAAGCAAAGACGTGAGTGTCGTCTTAGCAAAACCGAGGACTGTAATAGCTGAATTCTCTGTTAAACTTTTTCATTTCACAGGCACGAGAGAAACATATCCCAATGCATAACATGCAGAAGAGGATGCTATGTTTGAACCTTTTTGCTGCGTTAAAAGAATTCATCATTATTTATGAACCAAACTTGCCTGAACTTAACGGTTCAGCAACTGCACTTAGCTTCTTTGCATCTGCCAGAATTATTTCGGTTCTTTAATTCATTTTAGTTCGCCTTGAAAATTGCTCTTTTGATACTCTTGAAACTTTTTTCTATTAATTACCTTAACCTCAAACTATGCCGCGAAAATCTTAGTAAATCAGACAGTCTAACATTTTACTATTCGTCATTTATTTGTCTGGGCGGTCCGTAGGACCTTTGCCCATTAGTCACTGTCTGATGTACGTTAGTCAAATCTGTCAGTCCTGGTTGCCCAGAAACCAGACAAAGTCAAGGAAAAAGAGAAAGGGAAAGAGAAGAAAAAAGGAGAAGAACAAAGAAAAACAGATATCCTTAGTTTAAGAGGAAACACCTAGGCTTTTTGACTTGGTACACGGATTAATTTTGAGGTGAACTAAACAAATTTTTGATTCGGTTTTGTTAGAGTGTAATTTTGAGTTTACTAAAGATTCACGCTAACTTTTGATTACAGTGCGAGCCGTGGCCTTGAATGTTTACGAACTTGCTCCACTGTGTAGTCCACTGAGTCACGCAACAAAGGGTTGCTGTGCGATTCCGCTTGACTATAACGTCGCTGCGCCTGAAGCTTGACATAATCCCTCAAGTAAGGAATGTCAAGGTCTCTGTGTAATGTCTCATTTGAGACATACCATGAAGCGTTGCAAATTGTCCGCAAAGTTCTGCTTTGCAGTACTTGAAGACTTTGCATGCGTGTCTTGGCAAGAAAACACCAAGCCGCACATGCATAAGTAATGGCTGGTCTAATAATCATTTTATATAGTCGAACTTTGTTTATCAAACTCAATTTGGAGGATCTACATAACAAAGGATATAGTTGCCGAAACGCAATTTGGAATTTTGTTTTTATGGATGCTGTATGTGTCTGCCAGGTCATGCCTTTATCAAGGGTGACACCGAGATACTTGGCAGAATTTGTCCATGGTACACGATTTCCGTCTACAGAAACCTCTGCTGGGGGGCCGCGACGTTTTTTGGTACAATAAATAGCCTGCGTTTTCGAATGATTAATTTTTATCAGCCACCGTTCCGCCCACTCTAGAACTTCGTCCACCGCATTCTGCAACCCATCGTGAACCAGATCACCAGTACACGACTGGGCGACAAGTGCAGTGTCGTCAACATAGAGGTAGACTTCACAGTTGCTGGGGGAAGGGACATCATGGATGAAAAGCGAATAAAGAATTGGTCCTAGGACCGAACCCTGAGGAACACCGGCCCGTACTCGCCGTGTTGTTGACAAAACATTGTTAATTTTGATCCGAAACTTCCTTCCTTCAAGAAAGGATTTCAGTAATTTTAGAAGCCAAAAAGGAAAACCCTTTTGGATTAGTTTATAGAGGAGGCCCGCGTGCCACACCTTGTCAAAGGCTTTTGAGACATCCAAAAGCAAGATGCCAGTACTCATGCTAAGGGTGAACCCTCTGGTTACATGCTCCACCAGCCTGACTGCCTGTAGCTCGGTGCTATGCTCGGACCGAAAACCGAATTGGACGTCAGGAATCACATGGTGATTTGACGAAAAATTCTCAAGGTGACGATAAATCACCTTTTCGGCGAGCTTAGAAGGAGCTGACAGCAGACTTATGGGACGGTAATCCTGAGGAAATATCGAACCCACCTTCTTTGGAATCATGATGACCTCAGCAGTCTTCCACCCAGCAGGGAAGTACTGGATTTTGAGCGTCGCATTGATTATTGTCACCAAATATGTCAGGGCTTTCCGCGAGAGCAGCTTTAACGCCTTGTTGGTGATTTGATCCTCCCCAGGTGCTTTACGCACCTTGAGGTCTTTAATATGACTTAGTAACTCCGCTGGTGTGCAATGTGGAAACTCGGAGGGTTCCGCTAATGTGCTATGTGGAGCCTCAGACGAATCTTCTGAAGAAGAGTCATCTGAAGAGGAGTCAGTGCCTCCGCTAACGCCGTTGGTCCTAAAATATCTCCTGACGGATCGTACGATGTGCTGTTCCTCGTCGAGGTCATTATCGAGATCATAGTTGGGAGAGAACTGTTTTTCCATGGCATCAGCGAAAACCTCGACCTTATCCTCCGTTCTGAAGACTATGCTTTCAGGACCGTGGATGTGTAGGAGTTGTTCTCGCTTTCCGTTTCTGAGTGACTTTGCGACCCTCAAGAGAGGAATACTTGAATCAAGCATTGCCGCCAGAAAGTCGCTCCATTGCTCGTTGCGGAGTTCGTGCAGTGCGTTTCTCACTTCATGGACAAGATTTGTAGCCCTACGAATGTCATCAGGATGAACAGTCTAACAGTGAGTTATAGTAGAATACCAAAATTGATGACAGTAGCGAAACTCATCATACGCCCCTGTAATAAAAAGGTACCGCATCAAAGCAGTGGCGCACGATGACTTCTGCTACTGTCATCAATTCTGGCATTTGACAATAGGCTTTCCGTGATTTTTGCATAGAAGACTAAAGTAAATCAATTTGATGTAGTTTTCGCAGGAGTAACCGCCACTATTATACTTACTATATAACGTAGAAGATTGACTGGTTGCCTACAGTTGCAGAACTGAGAAACCATATTCTTCCAAAGAAAACCCGATAAAGTCTATCGATACCATGTAGTAAGTCGAAAGCAAGGATTTTTGAGTTACTTAGTATTCGTTGCAGTTGAAGGATACCTTTAGAGCCTCCTTGATCGTCATAGACTTTTCTCTCCGTCAGAAAGGCTGGGGGTGTTCCTGGATTTCACCTATTCCGTGTCAGCGTCGGCGCTCTCTTATTGTCTCTTCTTGAACTGAAGGAAATTTCATGCTGATAAAACAGATTATATAAAAAAAGCATGAGCAATTTGATGCAAATAAATATTTGTGACATAACCTCAAAATAGAGCGCGGACATGGATTTTTAGAAAACTATGAAAATCAAAATAATAAAGGCATCCTACAATTGTAGGAACGATTGACGATAAGTGTACGTGCACACAGCAAGAGGAAGCGAGCGAGTCGTTGCGATACGTAGCGATGCGAGACCCAACGCTAGAGATTTCTGTGCATATTGAATGCGTTTGAAAATGCGGATTTTTATTACTCTCCGAGAGTAGTCAGTGAACAGTCGCTATGGACACATCGTTATTACTATTATTATTGGAGAATCCTCTAATAAAACGACGTTTAGCCAAGAAAAGAAGATTTAACAGATATTTTCGAATGAATGAAGTTATATTTTGAGAAAAGTAGAAAGGCGTATCCAGAAACAAAATACAAATTTTCGAAAAGCCACAGTCCTATTGAGAAGCTAGTAGGTATTAACCTTAAGGCTCGTATCATATTAAATACCTACCTACTCAAAGAGAAAAATATTGCATGTTTTATATTTACTCGACTTTTATGTGTATTTTTATTCTCCTTTGCGCTAATCCACCTTTAGCATTATTTTATTAGTAATAAATTTTAATACACAAGAAGCAGTCTAGCACAAGGAGTTTACAATAAAAAGAATCATTTCAAAGAAAAAGATCAACTATTTAAAATAAACAATATAATATATTTGTCTGAGTATATTTATAGTATTTTCCACTTAGTTCCGGTATTTTCATCTACCAGTAAATTTATCCTTCAAATAAGTACCATAGCAATCATTGTTGTCAGAATTGTAAATATGGAAAATTTCTGAGGAATAAAACTTATCCAGAAATGAAAATACTGGCACTTAATGACATATTTCATTACTGTTTTTTCATATACGAGTACTTACAGTATTAACATATTCTAGCATGAACTTAACTACACTATGAAAAAATTTAGTTCTGAGTGTACCTGTGTAAAAAACCTTTATTTCTTCTTTTACTGACTAACTACGTTCTAGTGTAATACAAGTCATTATCATTTCTGTTACTAGCTGACGTATTTGAATTAACGAAAGATACAGATGGTGGATTTATGTACTGAGTGCTTTGACTGGGAACGAATTTTGAACATTTAAACCATTTGTTGTATTTTGTTGATATTGGTTTGCACTGATAGTTTCACTATAAAGTAATTCCTGTATTTTAACACGAATAAACATTTGTCGATCAATCGGGATATCACTTAAAGGTTTATGGAGACTCATTAAAAAGTAATATAAATCATCTTCTGGTTTTGACTTTGGGGCTTGTGATTGAGCTAGTTGTGTTTCGATGATTCGAATCTTCTTTTCTTCTAGATTTAGCAATTCATAGACAATCCCAGCACCCCTCTTTCTTTTTGTATAACTACTGTTGTTTGATACGGTCGGTGTTTCTTGATCCGTAGCTGAAGTTTGGCCTTCTATTTCTGAATTCCGTTCAATTTCAGATCTTCTATCTCTTGCGAATCTTCAGGCAGTGCACATGATGGACCAGCGGTGACAGTGCAAAACCTTTGAAGACTGCTGCTTATTTTTGTTGAAACTATTTGATCCTTTAAAAAAAACAGGTTTTTAAACCACACCCCTTGGACACATGATCTGCTTGGCTGCTGCCAGCACCTGATTTTCCTTTATTTGTTTTTTCCACTTCTGCCCGAAAATTGTCTCTCAGGTTTTTCCATTTTGCTTTAGCAGTTTCAACAAAAAATAAAAATAATATATACAGGGTGGCGCATCGAAAACGAAACAGACGCATTTACTGGCAGCTCAGTTTTTTTTTGGAAAAACGCTCAGACCCGTCGATTTTGTTAAATCTTAAATGGAAAGGGGGGTCGAGTGATACCTTATTTTGAAGGTCTTTCAATTCCCTTTATAATGATGTAAAATACATGAGCTTCAGTTCAGTAGTTTTGAAGATTTATTGATTTAAAGCTTAAAGTAGACTTTAATAGGTACATCAGACTAGTTTGTACTACTTTCAGAAGAAATTCGACTAAAAGAATTTACTTAATAAGTAAATGCTTTTCTTCACTACGCCGATGGTTTGATTATCATTCTGTTGTTAAAAAAAGCTATTGGAACGTTTTTTTGTGGCCAAAAAGTTATTTCTTGAAGAGAGATAAGGAAATATCTCGTACTTATTTTAAATAGGAATTTAGTACATAGTTTGCGATTGATTTGACCAAACTTTGTTGCTGAAATAACTTGTAACGCTTTATTACATAAATTATCCATGGTATATTCCACAGCAGAAAGAGTTGAAATTATCGAAATATTTTTCGGAAATAATCAGTGCGCTAATAGAACAGCAGAAATATTTAATGAGCGACATGAGAACAGTAACGTGCATCGAAAATTGTTCTAGAACTTGTAGCTAAATTTCGGGAAACTGTGTCAGTCGCCAATAAAAAACGCAACATTGAAAATCCCATAAGAAACGAAGCCATAGAAGTGGGGGTTTTAGGGCAAGTTTATGTAGATTCTACGTTAAGTACCCGCAAATTGGAGACTGTGTGTGGTGTTAGTCGACGTACTGTCCAGCGGATTCTAAAGGCCCAAAGTTTTCATCCGTATAAAATTCACCTGGTACAAGAACTTAATGAAGACGATTTTGATCGGCGATTACAATTTTGTGAAGATATGAGTGAACGAATTATAAACGATGAACATTTTCTATTCAACACTTGCTTTTCCGACGAATGTTCCTTTTTCTTAAATGGCGTAGTAAATCGTCATAACTGCCGATATTGGTCCGATTTTAATCCCAGAATTTATCATGAGGTTCATATACAGCAGCCACAAAAATTAAATGTTTGGGCTGGTATTTTTGGCGATCATTTAGTTGGTCCTTTTTTCTTACCTGGAAATTTGACCGGTGAAATATATTTAGAATTATTGGAAGACGCCATAGATCCTGCATTAACAGCCATAATTGAAAATCAGAATGATCGGCGGTACATTGCGAATAGGTTGATGTTCCAACAGGATGGTGCCCCACCACGTTACGCATTACGTGTTCGACAATATTTAGATCAGACATTTCCAGATCGATGGATTGGTTGAAGAGGTGCCATTGAATGTCCTCTAAGATCGCCAGATTTATCACCTTTGGATTTCTTTATGTGGGGTCATTTAAAAAGCAAAATCTATGCTACTCAATCAACTCATTAGAAGACCTGCGACAAAGAATTGTGAATCAGTGCCTTCAAATTACTCCTCAAATATTGCAAAATGTGCGGCAACGTTTTGAGCAAAATCTTTATTATTGCATGGAGAGTCATGGTGGCCATTTTCAAAATTTACTTGCCTAACGGGTCAGTTCAGTCTTCATTTTTAAATTACTTTGCTGCCAAATGTATTGATCTCCAGTAATAATGATGTATTAGTTTTATTTAAGCTTTAAATCAATAAATCTTCAAAACTACTGAACTGAAGTACATTAATTTTATGTCATTATAAAGGGAATTAAAATACCTTTAAAATAAGGTATCACTCGACACCCCCCTCCATTTAAGATTTTGGGGGTGGTGTCACTCCCGCTTAGGGGGCTGCACGTGCTAACGTGATTTTTTGCCAAACTTGTGTACCCCTCGAAAACAAAATCGACGGGTCTGAGCGTTTTTCCAGAAAAAAAAACTGAGTTGCCAGTAAATGCATCTGTTTCGTTTTCGATGTGCCACCCTGTATGAAAAAACAAAAGCAGTAATTTTGATAGATAAGAGTAAGACACTTAAGTATTGAGTTAAACATTATTTTCAGGTTTTTTGCTACCGGATTATCATATAGAGCACTCTCAGACTATTTCAGAATGGGTTTTTCGACTGTAGCAAGTATCGTGAAAGAAGTTTGTAATATGAGAGGAACTGCAGCCAATACATCTAAAAAAATCGTCTATTAAATTTATGGTAAATACTTAATTAACACCCTGTAAGGAAAAAAGTCCCAACTTTGTTGAGGCTTGAATAAACGTATCTATTACCATAGTAACTATTGTATTGTATTTTATTCTCCGAAACTAAAGTATATTCAGATAAGAGATAGACCGGACATAAACAAGACCACGTGATCATCGAACGCTGTAACATTCGGCAGGGACGTATTAAGAGTCACGCAGTACATATTTTAGTTGGTAGATGCGTAACTTTGTAGTAAATTAGCACAATTCGATGTGTATACGATTGGTGATGGATATAGGATCATGTGGGGGTGGGGTAAGAAATATATAATGATGTAGCTTCGGATGCCGCCTGATGTTTGGTGAAATACAATCGAATATAATCTTAAAATGGCGTTTAAATTAGCCTAAATTAAAAATAATCGTATATCTCTTAAAATTGCTTTTAGAATATTGATTAGTATATTTTTTGATTTCTAGGTAAATATGTAACCAAATTAAAACGTTCAAAACGTAAAAATATTTGCATAGTTGAACATTGTCAGAAAGTAGATTCTTGAATAGGTTTTGCCAAAATGGGTTCAAAAATGTCAATAATTAATTAAAAAATACAGTGGCTTTATAATTACTTATAACTTACCGAATTTGATGAACGACATCTTTTATTGGAAAGATGAGCTTGATGAGCTTTCATCATCGCTACTGCCTGAAGCATCAACGTCAATAATGAATGGCTCGTCTTGTTCCTCTAAAATATTGTCCAGTTCCCACATTCTCTTTTCAATTTTGTCTTTCACGTGCTTAATACAGTTTTCCCATTTTTGCGCTGTTATTAATTCTAGTGCTTCTTTGAAAAATCCTTTGAGGTCACAAAATTTAAAAGTTGTATGGTGCTTAGCTATATAATTTTTAACCTCTGCTCATATGAGCTCAATGGGATTGAGCTCGCAATGGTATGGAGGTAAACGGAGCACAGTTTTATTTTGACTTGCTGCCATTTCGTCAATGGCGTATTTTTGATATTCCGCCTTGTGATCCTTGACAATTCTTAATAATTGTACTTTCAGCATTGCTTCTTCAAAGTTGATATTTTTCGAGCGGAGCCAATTTTGAACATCAACTTTCCTTGAAGCGATTGTTGGGACCTTCTCCATTCTTCGAGAATGATAAGGCGCATTATCCAACACAATTACTGCGTTTTCCTCTAAGTTCGGTAAAATTTTTGAAAACCACTGTTCAAACGATTCGCCATTCATTTCCTCGTGGTAATCTCCAGTTTTCTTAGACTCAAAGCACCACAGACCGTCAACAACGAATCCATCCTCACTGCCAATATGGCAGATAATGAGCCTTTTCCCTTTACCTGGAAATCGAAGTACTAACTGGTGTAGATTTATTTCAATAAGCGAACCTTTTTCAAATGTTTTCATCACATTCAGCGAAAAAACATTGAGACATGAGTATCAGATTGCTATTATTGGGATTATTTAGTCATATTGAAAGAAAGAATATTGAACGTCGTATGATTACTCAGCGCTTCACAATTTAATTTAAAGTTATAAACATTTAAAAAATGAATGATCAGGAACCTGAAATACGCGCAAATATTAATATTAACAAATTATAACTTTATAAAGCTTAAAGTATG